CGCCGGGCCTCCCCCTCCCAGGGCCTCCCAACCCCCACCCCAGAGCCTCTCCCCCAAGGCCTCCCCCCCAGGCCTCCCAACCCCTCCCACATGGGCATGGGCCGTCCCTGCTGGCCAGGAAGGGCTCTTTGTAACCTTGTGACCCCCACCTGGCATGTCTTAATCGCATGACACTAAGGGCTTCCGTCACATGCACAGCCGGCAGGTACAGGCACCCTCGCACACCCCGCAGGCCGGGGAGCCCTGGGGGAGCCCTGGAGGAGCCACACTGCTGCCGTGGGGCAGGGACCTCTGAGGGGCTTGTTTGCAGCTGGTCCCCGGGGCCTGCGCCAGGGCGCTGCGTCTTCCTGTGTCTGGGCATAAAGTGATGGCCGGGCAGGACCATGGACGGCTCTGCCGGAAGCTGGGACTTGGGCCAGCGACAACCCCTCCCCACGGGCTGAACGTGAGGGACGGGGTGAGGGTCCCCCACCTGCTCCCTGTTGCGGTTCCTCCCCTGGTGCCCCACCAGCCCCCTGCTGTTTCTGGAGGCCACCACTTTGGGGTCAAGGCGTGGGAGGCTGGTTTCACCTGAAGCTCTGTGCGGGAGACCCTTGCGTGCCCTCGCCTGGCTTCTGGTGGCTGCTAGCCTCCTTGGTGTTCCTCGGCTCGTGGACGGCTCGCCCGGATCTCTGCCCCGTCCTTGCGTGGCCGCCTCCTCTGTGTGTCCTCTTCTTACTGGATTTAGGAACCACCCTGTTCCAGACCATCTAATTACATACGCAGGGACCCTATTTCCAAATAAGGCCTCAGTTTGAGGTTCTGTGTGGACATGAATTTGGGACACTATTCACCCCTGTACAGATGGGTGGGCCCAGGATGAGGGCGGGAGAACTTCAGGAGCCCCCATGATGCCCCTCCAGAAAGCTTGGAGGTGTGAGGGTCCTGGGTGGCGTCTTGGAGCCCTGGGACCACACAGTGTGAAGCTCCTCCTGGGCCCCAGGCCGCACTGCCTTGGCCAAGTGTGGACAGGGATTCTGAGACCTCGCGGGGCTCCGCGGGGAAGTGTGGCCATCGGCAAGTGACTGACGATGTCTGCCTCAGGCTGGGTGAGGAGAGGTGGGGCCGTGCTGTGCACTTGCTGTCCAGCCCTGTTGTTCACAGAGGCGGAAACTGAGGCATGGGGGGCAGGGCCTCCCCCCGAGCTCCTGCAAGTGTGGAGCGGGAAGGCCTGACCAGCACCTGGGTCCCACTGGCCTCCCCACCAGCGGCCTCTCTTGCCCAGGTGGCCTCCTCACTTGGGACCCCAGGGGTCTGGGCATCACTCTGTAGCCAGAGACCCCAACTTTGGGGTGTTGCTTCTGGAGGGGAGGGTTCTTGTCCCAGCCCCTCCTCCAAGCACATCCTGGGTGGGGCTGTTCCCAAGAAGCCAGCTCTTTAGACTGAAAATAGATCCTCCCCCAGCTCAGACACGTTCTCTGTGGCCCCTCTGGTCCCCTTCCCCCATACCCTCAGCTTCCCCGGCACGCCGGTGGGATGGTGAATTTCACATGTCCCCTTGACCAGGCCATGGTGTGCACAGACGTCTGCTTAGACCACTCTGGGTGTGTCCGTGAGGGTGTTTCTGGGTGAGACTTACATCTGAGGGGACACCTAGTAGACTGGAGAGGCTGGGGGGGAGCTGGACTTCGGACCCTCGCGGCCTTTGGACTGGGCCACACCCAGGGCTCTCCTGGGTCCCCAGCCAGCAGACCTAGACTCGATGGTCATGCATATTTTTGCCAGCTTAATGGTCATGGCAGTGGGGGGACACGTCCTCGGAGTTGCTACACCAGCAGTGAGGTCACACCTGAGCATTTCCTTAGAACCTGCAGGAAAACCGCAGGTGGGGCCGGATTCACCCTGCTCTGCCGTGAGCCAGCCCTGAGTCTGCACACCTGTTTCTGACATTTCTCAGGTGGGATTCTCTCTCTGAGGACAAATCTCCACAGAAGAAACAGCAGGAATCCCCTGCTGCCTTGGGGGTTCAGCAGAGACACCAATTGCATTTCTTGCTGCTCAACTCCGTTTCTCTAGCACATCTTGATCACGCGGCAGGAGACGGCCCACCTGTCCCTGGCTCGTGTACCAGCTTCCTGAGGGGCCACCACAAAAACGCCATAAACACGCAGCTTAAAACAACAGGGATTTAGGGCCGGCCCAGTGGCGCACTGGATAAGTGCGCCGCTTGGGAAGCGCAGCGGCGCTCCCGCCCGAGGGTTCGGATCCCACCTACAGACTGGTTCCCACTCACTGGCTGAGCGAGGCGCGGGAGCAACGCCGAAGGTTGCGATCCCGTTGCCGGTCCCCGGTCT